GTAAGGCTGCTCCCTGCCTCGCTCCTTACCTCTTTGCGTTGCAATTCAGGGCGCTGCTGTCTCGCCAAGCCTCGCCAACCACGCGTTCACGCTGCCTCCTAACACGGCAGCCAGCGTGCTGCTCCAAAAATCCCTCTCCTGGCTGATGTCCCCGCACGACTCACATCTGTAGCTCATCCCAAGCGGCTACAGCCAACTCCGGGCGGCACAGAGTCACGTCGCGCCCTCAGTACGCGATCTCAGAGGTCTGTGCATCGCTGAACACTGCTCCAGACAGACCTGTGAAACTCTGCACTCAGGGTTTGGTTTTGCCTGCAAAGAAAACAACCAGTAATGTTTTTCTCCACTTGCCTACCAGCCGAGCTGCACAGCCAGGGTGATAACACACGTCCTGCGTCGGCTGTGCCTGAGCCAGGATTGCCTCCACCTCCTCCTCCCCAATCTGCCAGGGCTGTAATTGCTCCCATATCTAATTCAGTCAAGGTGCCTGGATTCATTTAATGGCTTTTTAATGGATGTTTTTCCATAATGGGTGTGACTACATGAATGAAGGCATGCAAATCCGGGGCGAGGGAAGGACAGCAGCCGGGTCTGACTGGGGACAGCAACTTTGTCCCTGGACACTGACATCTGCAGAACAAGCCTCCACATAACAAAGATGCACGGAGAGAGCACTTGAGGTTCCTCCTAGCCACTTCCAAGCTATTCTCTTCTACTTTCTCCTGAATATTTGAGTTCTGAAACACATAAAGGTCAGGCTTCACGTGGGGCTTCATGCAGCTTAAGGGGAGGCCCAAGGGTCTGCAGCACCAAATTGATGGTTAAGTCTTCCCATAGATTGTTATATCCCAAATCACAATCAGAATGACCAAAAGAAACTTTCTGGGGTTAGACAAAATTAAAATGTACCCTCTTTTGGATGTTTTTTCCCTCCCCTCTGAATTAATCTCTCCTTGGTAACCTCCTACACACTCTAAATCATTTTGCACATTCTGAACAGACTTGTTACGCATAAAGCCACAGCACTGGTGTGACACGTCCGACCCGACGTCGTGACCACCTTGCCCCTGCATTATTCCTTTCCCTCAAACCACATCTGCCTCATCTATTCAAAAGACAAGCTCTCCAGGCTCAGAACTGCTTTTGCTCCAGCTACACACAGTCCTGTTCTGTGTCTCCTATATAAGGAAGCCAGTCTCTTAACTGGTCTCTTGACATAAACATATATAATCTGTCCGTGCAGACAAACATTACACACGCCCACAAAACCCCTTTGCATCTGCAGCCTCTGAACTCACAGGTTTCGCACGTCTACTTTGTGAGCACACATTGGTCAGCGGCAACAGGCAGGATAAATGCTGCAACAAGAAGAATGTCTGTGTTGGACATGTGTGTGCAAGAATATGCAGATAGAATTAGTAGTTTTAAAAATATGTGGCTTTCCAAATAATGAGTGAAATACAAATTTGAAACTCAACAGCCAAGTGGAAGGTTTTAGTTCCTACAGTAAAAGATTTATCTGGTATTTCAAATTTTAATGAACCACCAGGGAATATTCTGCTTGCGGTTAACATATCTAAACTCTCTTCTCTCCCTCATTCCTTTTTTTTTTAAAAAAAAAAAAAAAAAATTTTCTCAAGGACTGGCACACGATTAAACACATTCTTGAATCAGCACTCTTGCCACTATGCAGGCAGGACAGTCAGTAGGAGTATCCATTTCATCTCGGACTGGAAATCTACACCCAAGCTAGTCAGCTTTGGTGCTTGCTCAGTCAGTGGAAAGCAGGAGACCCAGGAGATTCACCTTGAGGACGAGCGCTTTTCTTCCCACCGACAGCAGAGAAGCAGGACAAATAACTCTGATGTAGACCTCCACGTCAGGCACAGCAAATCCCATCTCTGGGGCTTCCCTGTGACCAGTGCAGCAGTACCCAACTTCCTGGGCATCTCAACACCACTGAGTAGTCACAACCAGGACTTTGCAGAGACGTCCAAACTTACTCTGTGCAGAGAGGCAGGGTGGGTATGAGCCACCTCAGATGCAAAAACTGCCTGAACTTCATTAAAACAGGCAGGACTCCAAAGCTTGTAGGACAAGTCTTATTAGCTGAGTTACCAGAGATGGCTTTTGGGTCAGAGCTGGCTTCATTCTGCTGTCTCAGAGAACCACGCGAGGGAATTCAACCTTTCTGCTAAGTCTTACCCATAGGATTATTTTTAAAAACTTGATAGTTTTTAAATTTATTTCCTTTGTATATCACGAGCAAAACATGTTTTTCTCCTTTCAGATGCCTTTTGGAGGTCTCAGATCATGCTCACCTATCCCTTCTCCTGAATTCCCCCCCATCCCACCATCCCTTCCCTCTTCCACGGCCGTTGCTCTGAAAGTCAATCGACAAAGGACAGTGCCACCCTGGCAAGTGTACCAAGATTTATCATATACCCTGACGACAGTGTAAAAACCTCTGGAAAAAAATCCAACCCAGATACAGAAGCTCTTTCCATTCATCTCAAAAAACCACGGAGGTCTAATCCTGTCCAGCTGATGATGACAGAAGCTGCAGAACTGACACAAATAGGTGCAGAAGCAAGACCCATGTGCTGATTTAGGATACCTTTTTCACAGGTGCTTTGGTTTCTTCTCTAAATGAAACACATCTTACAACAAAAAGGGCACATTTTTTGTGGTATTTTACTGCCAAGAGGCTTCTGTCTTCCTGATGCTCAGTTAGAAGAACCACAAAACAGTAGCTGTGCTTATGTGACAAATCCTCCCATCGACTGCAAACACTGTATTACTTTGGAGAGATTTTCAGCTGCCATTTATGGCTATTTCAAGTGTACTTTAAGAAGATTTATGCGCTGTGTATCCTACTGCAAATGCAATAAAACATAAACTAAGCGAGTAAATGGTCTTTGTTGATTATTTTTGAATCATTAAGAACACCACAGCAAAACGACTACGGGAGAGAACAGCAGTGCCTCTGCCTGACTGAGGCAAGGAGACTTTTCTGAGGATTATGACCAGATGCGTTGAAAACCAGTGTTAGAGACATTCAGGCCAGCAAGATAGTAATTGCAGGGAACCTGTGTCTTGGTGTTTTTGGGATATTAGAAAAGGGAGAAAGACAAAACACCATGGAATCGTAGAATCACAGAATGTTTTGGGATGGAAGGAACTGTTAAAGACCAACTAGTCCAACTCCCCTGCAGTGAGCAGGGACATCTTTAACTAGACCAAGTTGCTCATGGACACATGGATCATTTCAGAATACTACAGAGAGAATCAAATACACCATCCAATGACCACATCAAGTCTATTCAGCTCCCAAGAGAGCACTTGGCCAAAGAAGGCTTCCTAGCTTGGTTAAAAAACAACACAAGCAGCAGTAAAGTTATCTGTAAAATGCTCTGACAACAGACCATCTATTGCCTTACTCTAAAGACAATAATCACACACAATACACACTGCAGCTGCCTTTAATCATGCTTTCTGGACACAATTAAAAAAAAACAAGTCACAAACTGTTGTGTTTTAACACAACAAAACACAAACTTGTGTTTTAAAAGAACACAAGTCACAAGACCTCTACCTACCATACACATTTGGAGAAAGTATAAAAAGGCTGGAAAAAAAATCATTCACTTACCTACTTGTCTTGAAAATCTTTAGTAAGAAGTTGAAGATTAGTATACTTTAAAAAAATAATAGTCACCAGTGATATAAAGGGACTGCTCTGCAGGAGGAAGTAGCTCCACCATGTAGAGTTCCCCTGGGGTTTTCTGCTTTTTTTTTTTTTTTTTTTTTTTAATACCCCCTCCACAATGTACTTCACCACTCAGACCTGAGTGTCTAGCAATGAAGAACAGCCTCTCCGGCCTGGTGAACCTCCTGGGCTCTCGCTGCACAAGCACAAGGCAAGGCTCAGAAACTCAAGGTACGCATTGTTGAGAGCCGTTCGTTCAACCACGGCTGGCTTGTCTGTTCAAGTTCGCATGGCTTGGTGCCTCCAGACAATTCCCTCATTAGGCTCCCACAGCAAGTCGTCATTGACTCGACACAGCAACACTCCCTGGCACAGAAGGTTGCAGATACGATCTATTCAGACAAGTCCAACATTTTTTAATACAGAACCTTCCTCAGTGCCAGGGGTTCCACATACGTCTCAAACGACAACAGCTCTGTTCTGCGCCGGCTGCTCAAAAACTTCGCCTCAGCACATTAGCCTGACTCTATCCTTTCGCTATTTTTACTGAATTTTGTTTAGCAAGCAACTTATACTGGAAAATAGACTAAAATTCTCGAGGAAAGCATTAAACTGGTTCAGTGAAGTTTGTATTAGTCTTAAGTAAAAGAAAAACATTCTGACCAAAGAAAGATTTATGAATTCTACCAGCTGAAATAAGTCACAGATAACTGTCTCTCTTACTAAAAATTTCACTTTGAAGTTTAGTGATATATAAGATAAGGATTCAAGATACAAGTAATTATGCATTTACAATGAAGAAAATCATACAGAGGAGAATGAAGACATTTCATTCAGTACAAAAACATCTACAAAAAAACAAATCTTGGCAGGTACTGCACGCAGTCACAAATCCATGTGCTCCTTTTAAATACCATGCTTGTTCACTCCTGCCTCATTTGTGCCTCATTCTACAAAATTCTAAGTATGGGGGGAGATAAGGGGGGGGAAAAAAAGCATCACCTCTTACCCAGTTTCACTCAGCAAAAGAAGAATTCTTGCACTTTGTAGCTAGGAGAAATACAGCAGCTGATCAGGAAGAGCTGAAAATATTTCCGAAGAACATATGAAGGCCATTTGCTTATTCTCCTTAGTTTTCCATTCCTAATGGATGGCAATCATAAATGCTTCCAGAGATTTCTTTCACTGCGCATTACTTCTTTTTCAAACATTCAGGTATTTCTATACAGGAAAAATTAGCAACGCTTGCTGTCTTTGCTCTCTTCTAACTAGAGGAGCACTTAGGGAGTATTATTTCCCTGTAAAGGAGACAGAAGACTGACTGCATACGGCTTTTCCCCCCATCTCATTTGCATGAAATCAATATTTTTCAACCCAGAGGTTGGCTACTGTGTTTTTGTTTCCTTGAATGGGGGAGGTGCAGAAAAGGACTTACTGGGGAAAAGTGCAGGGAGGGGACCAAGACTTTCCACCTCAAGGCAGTTTAAAAACAGAAAGACTGTCATTTTCATGAAACTTGTAGCATGTAGAGTCATGGAAACTGAAGTCCTAGAAAAACATGGCAACGGCAAGGGCTAAATTCCAGGCGCTCATGGGGCTGTCCTGGAATGACCATGCTTACGGACAAGAGCATCATTCATTCTCCAGAAGCAGCCCTTTGTGCCTTTGCTCATCGACAGCTTAATGCTCCAAAGAAGAAAGGAAACCAGTTTCCCACAGACACATGCAACTCGTACGGCCAAAATCAGAACCGTGAGACAGTGCAAGGATTTTTTCCCCCCTATAAGAATTTCCTAGCTCTCCTCTGCTGCTCTTTAAGCACTTCTACTTGATACTTTTGACAACGTAAAGAATCACCTATTCTTGGATTTGGACCCGATTTCATCCCTGCGTGCAAAGGGACCTGTGGAACTACTACATGTAGATCAGGTAAGGACTGCTTCTGCCTGCACACCTTCTACTCCTGCACTCCCATGGAAACGTGAGGTGCACCTCCACATGACAGCATAACCGAGCCCAAAGTGATGACACAGAGAAACACATATGGTCAAGCCTTCTCAGGGTGACAGTAAAACAACAAAATGTTTATTTAATTTTGCTGCTGCAACGCCAGTTCACATCTAGCCAAGTCTTTTGTGACCACGGGTCAATTAACTCCACCATCTGGTAGTTTGTGCAATATGGTCTGAAATTTAAAAGCAGCCGCAGTCCAGCGCGCTGTGCAGGGAAGCTCACACCACTGAAGACATCTCTGAATCTGCTACGAACTATTCTTACAGGCAGTCTCAGGTGGAGGGGCAAAGGCCAGTCCTTAACAGGAATACTTCTCCCAGATATCATCAAGTGAGGGATAGAGCTCACTGGCAGGGCACATTGTCTTCAAACTACCCTGGAGGTGCTGAGGCAGGTTTTTTTCATGATTTAGCGCTTCCAACCTACCATCATTCACTAACTGTAAAGTCTCTTAAAAGTAAAGCTAAAAACCATTGCTTAAAGGAGCGCTTAAAGTTTAAAAAGTTAGGTTGCTCTCTAAACCCAGCTCTTGTCGAACATGTGTTACACATAGCCCAAGCCTGACACACTTCCTGCGCTGGCAGGGAGATTGCAATGGAAAAGCTCACTGAGGCTCGTTTTAGTGATTTACAGCAAAGGATGGGGGGGCGGGGAGGGAATCACATCTTTCTTCAATATGTTTTTCCACTAACAGCATGCGTGTTCTACATAAAACTGGTCTAAGCCACTTTGCACTAAAATTAGAATAAAGTAACCCAAAGGTGGCAAAGTCAGCGACCGGCATTTCAGTTAACCCTGCTCAACATCACCCCAGGGACAGGATTTACCTCGATTTTAGAGTTCTACACCTGAAGAACTTACCCTGAACTCTCTTTGTAGTCAGACAAGAAATGCAGTAGTGTTTTCAAATGACACAAAACTACACCTTTACTGGAGCACAGCTAAAGCTGGGATCCACTCTGAGAAACTGGTTGCTGCCCCTCAAAAAACATTCACAGCATCCTGCAGCAAGGACTTCTCTATCTCAGCTGCATGATGTTCTCCCCTACTGTGGGTATTTCCTTAACACTGAGATAAATCAGATCATAAATGACCTATTTCTTTCCACTGACTGCAAATGAAATTTGGTTGGCTAGCTTGAATGCAGACTTCCTCAGAGAGATTTCATCCAGGAAACCTAAGGAGACAGCAATGGCATCCATTTACCGCCTTGGGAAGAAAAGACTGCATCATATACCTTTTGTCATGCATCACTTAGGTATCTTACAAAATCAATCATATGGGCTTGTCTCCAACCACGCACATAGTGGATAACAAACTAAGATTACATAAGAAACCTTGTTTCCTTCCCTTTTCTCACCTTTGAGTCCCAGGCATGCTACGATAATGTTCTTGCCACTCACATAAAGCCACTGCAAATCCACTGATTCCTCCTGTATTAAAGGGAGGAATTATGGAGGGAGCAATCAATCATGGAGGATGGGACACACACCAGTACAGTATTTTGCTGGACCTCAGAGGAGTTTTCAGGGTTTGTGGATCTTACTGTTGCCCTCAAGGACAAGAGGGGTCACAAACCGCACCTCTAAGAACAAAGATCTGAACCACTTCTTCCGAAGGCTGCACAACCAAACAGGTGACATGCAGGTCTGCTGTACTGGTCTCCCTTGTCCGCAGAACGGAGCAGAAGCAAGAAGCAACATAAGAAAGCAACACATGAGTTTCCATATAAAAGCTAAAGCATTAGCAAGAAGACTTAAGAGGAGTACTGCAAAATGCACAGACATATCTGCCCAAAGACACAGGAGAAAATACCATCTATAGAACTCGGGAGAAAGAATCTCACTATACTTTAGTAACCATCAAGCTCCCAGATCTGTAAGAGATATTTATGCACCTCAATCCCTCTGGCAATGTTGGCTCTCAGGTGTTTTCAAAATCCCATCCCAAACTACAAACTATCTACAAATTTTCAGATCATTTTACTTGCAACTACTTCTATTCAATTCTGTTCTTGCCTGATCTATAACTTGTGCTAAAACATATGGCAGTGTATTTGCTAAAAAATCCCTCAAGAAGTGCATTCTCTAAATCAACTCTGAACAGCTTCAGATTTGAGATCAGGAAGGGGGTGGAGGGAAGAACCTAATAGTGCTTTGTTGTTTTCCTGTTGGGGTTTGAGTTTTGGGGTGTTTTTTTCCCCCTATGAAGCTAACTGAAGCAGTCAAAAGTTATTTAGAGTTAGTTTATGAAGTGAAAATTCTATAAATTGTAGTAGAAAGGCAATTTAATCTTAGTTCCAGATACTGACATGCTCAATATGCATTTTAAAAAAATCCAAACCTTCATAAAGGTTATTATTACATGCTTTGGAGAAAGATTTAGGAAAAATACTGCACATGCATTCAGTAGGAATCCCCAGTGGTTGTCTCATTTACCTCGTTACACACATGCGCGCACACACACAAGGTGTTAATTGCATCCAAAAGAAAACTGCAGGCACAGACTGCAAGAAATTACGTGGGTCCTTCCCCCGGTTCCCTCCTCCCGATGGACGCCTACTATTCTTCTAAAAATTCCCCACATAAAAGGAGAGTGCTAATTGTAGCTATCACAAAGTGTTTTTCCATCGTCATAGAAATTTAATTCCTAAATTTGAGCTGATGCACACGCAGAGGCAGAGACCAAGCAGAGGTAGGAGTGATGACGGATCCATGTAGCAAGTCATTATAGCAGGGAAAATTTAAATACGCATCAAAAGCACAATCCCATAATTGGCAGATCCACTTCAAAATCTCAAAAAGCTTATTTTCAGCTTCTTCAAACTGATGCAACACCTTCCTGTGAGAACATGGTGTAGCCCAGGCACTTGTCTTCCACACCACAGAGTTACCACAAAATGCATTAGTTCCCACTTCAGGGCTTATTCTCTTACATTTTTTCCAGAACACTGTGGGACTTCTTTTTGCCCTAAAAAGTAATAAGATGCTTAACTCAAATCTCAGTACCTGTTAAAACTTGGGAATTTGTGCTGTCTTGTGCAAATTAAAGCTGCACAAGACACTCAGGCGTGTAAGGAAAGGGCTAGAAGAGAGAACATGCTCATGCCACTTTATCAGTTAATGGTATGACCTCATCTGCAATATCAAAGGCAAGGCCACATCTCAGGAAGATCAAAGAAAATAGCAGAAAACCACCAGGACCTTGAAAAATCTCTCATAGAACTGACTTAAAAAAACCCCAGAACAACAACAAACCACTCAAACTTGCAGAACTCTCACATGACAGAGAAAACTGGACAAAGAATGACAAGCCCAGAGACAGGACGCCTGTTCAATGCGATTCAAGCCTGGAAAGAAATCCACGTTAGCTGATCACCGCTCATAATAAACCTCCCATTTAGGAGCTAGCCCTAGGCTCCACGGGCAAGCCCAGGGAGAAAACAGTAACACACTTGCACCTGCAGCGATAAATCAGGTTATGGGACTGCTGCTGCACTGGCAATACCAGTGCAAGAGGCTGTCCAAAAGTAGAGATCAGATCTTCATCCCACCTCCCAGGCTTGCTCTCCAGCATCAGTCAATCTCAGGAATCAAGAAACAGCTAACACATTAATTTCTCTAGGAGAGAGAAAGTCAAGCTGCACTGGTGGAAGCTGCCCCCTTTTCCCTTACACCCTAATACAAGCAGGAGCATGGAAAAGCGTTTTCTCCAGGTCTGCTCACCGCTGGCACGCAGTTGCTCAAGCACAAAGGCAAGAACCACATTTAGACCTACACACATCTGCACGGCAGCCACTCGCACCACCGCTGCAAGAGCAAGCTTTAGGTGAGGTTTATCCTGCATTCAGCCCCCACAACCTGACGTGGGTTCTCAGCTAGAAGCATTTTGCCAGCAGAGGCACACACTTACACCTTGCCTGCAGTGCCTTTATTTTAAATAAGTAATTCTCTGCCTTGCCATCTCAATTCTAAAACAAAAAGGGAGCAGCATTCGCTCTAACCATGGCAGAATTTGAGTTTGCTCAGAAATAAAATTAATAAAAAAAAAGAGGATGGCAGGATACAAAGAAATCACTCAGCAAATCACAGGAACTGAGGCATGGTAAGGAAACACGGGCTTCCAATGGCCTCCAATAAACAGCACGAACGCATCTGGGGCTCTGGGGAGACCTTAGAGCGACCTTCCAGTTCCTGAAGGGGGCTACAGGAGAGCTGGGGAGGGACTTTTCATAAGGGTATGTGGTGACAGGACAAGGGGAAATGAGTTTGAACTGGGGCAGGGCAGACTCAGATT